CTCAGACAAATGTAAATGAAATTTCAATATCATTCTATAAGCCTGACAAAGACACTAGGCATCTGTGTAAAGCTAACTGCCCATTGACTATTAAAGAATTGCTGAACTGGTTTAAAATATATATGCCTGAGTGACTCTCCTTGGTCACTGTGATGAAGAGCAACCCCGTAGGGTGTGACCCAGGGCTCCAGCTCCCTTCCCCGTAGGCTGCACCTGCACGCTCCACTCCATCTGCTCTGGGCACTCCTGCCTGGTCCTGGACATGCAGAGCCCTCCCTCCAGCACCTGCATGTGCTGTTCCCTCTGTCTGGAATGTTCTTCCTCTGCTGGTCACCTGGCCAGCTCCATCAGAGTTCAGTTTACCTCTCCTGTCCGAGGGAAGCCTTTGCTGAGCCCCATCTATCCTGCCATCTGCCTCTTGCCCAGAACACTGTGCAGCTGCTCCCTTGTACCAGCCAGGACCAGCAAGGTTGGGCTGCAGTCACAAATAAACCCTGAAACCTTAGGAACTTCATCTGCTTCTCGCTCACACCGCGTGTTCCAGAAAGCCCATGTCCCCGTTCCACACCATTGTTAGTGACTCAGATTGAAGGAGGTACCACTCCTGGGCACAGCAGGGAGAGAGAAAGTGGAGAGAACTCATTCCTGCCTCAACTGCCCAGGACCCAAAGTGGCCTGTGTCGCTGTTGCTCACAGTCTGTTGTCCAGAACTAATTATCCGGTCCCAGCTGCCTGCAAGAGAGGCACGGAAGCACGAACTCCTTGTGTATCCTCAAGAAAGTGGATATAAAGTGGAACGGTCTCAGCTGTACCCCACCATGGACTGTCCCATGTGACACTGTAGTTGCCTATTTACTTCTCTGCCCACCCCACACCCTAGACTGAAGTTCCTTCGATTCACAAATTTCAGGCTTCTCCTTCATTTGACTCTTGGCAGCTAGCACAGTGCCCTCCTTGAAGGCCCGTGAAGTTTCAGGAAGAGTCGATCACACGACCTTCCCGGCCGTAGAGCACCTCCACGCCTCCACGTAGCCGACTCCCCTGGTGCGGCACGGCTGTGATGGATCATTTCTTCATCCATCTCCTCCCTCTGCCAAGTCATCAGAAAATGCTGAGCACCTATGGAAAACACTGAACACACGCCGCCTGTTCTGTCTGGTTTTCATTTTATGTTGTGCTGTTTTTTTGGTACAATAAACAAGGTGAAAGCAAGGAAGTCAACAATGTGGGGTCTGAGGAGGTTTCAACAAATGAATGCTACCTCGCTGTGTTCTGTTTTGAGCACGTGCATCCCTGGTTTACACTGAGAGCTGGAAAATGGCACTTGGATGGCAGCCAGGTTTCCAGGGGGAATAAACACCTCCAAAGGGACAAATGTTTTTCACAGACTGTGAGTGAAATGGAGACTCAAATATTTTAAAATAAATATATAAAAAAGAAGAAAGAAAAGAAAAGGCAAGGAGACCCTGCTGACCTTAGTTCCCAAATGAGCTAAAAACAAGTTTTTATAGTAATATTTTCTGCTTCCAAAGAAACAAAACTTCGTATTTTCACTACTCTCAGAATAAGTATTTCTGTGTGTCGCTACTCCCAGAACAAGTATTTCTAAAATGTCATTTTTGAGATTGAACAAAGGGCTTCAGTCTTTAAGCCACAAGTTACTCATCTGTAAAATAGGAATACTGATAATTCCTCACTCCCTGGGTAATAATGAGAATGAAATGAATTGTTATACAAAGATATAGATCGGGGCCAGCGTGTGGTGAGTTCCATATAATTGTTAGTCATCACTGTCTTCATCATCACCATCATCATCATCACTGTCATCACCACAATCACCACCATGATCATCAGCATCATCACCACCATCATCACCATCACCACCCGCCATCTGTCCCACCACTCTCATTATCATCACCTTCATCTCCACCATGATCCACCACCATCATCTTCATCATCACCACCAGTGTCATCATCACCACCACCACCATCATCCCACCATCACCACTGTCATTATCATCACCTTCATCTCCCACCATGATCACCACCATCATCTTCATCATCACCACCAGTGTCATCATCACCCCCACCATACGTCACCATCATCCCACCACCATTTGTCATCCTCACCACCATCATCATTACCATCATCATCCCACCACCATCACCACCATCAACATCACCACCGTCATCATCACCACCACCATTACCATCACCATCACCATTACCATCATCACCACCATCATCACCATCACCACCATCATCATCACCACCACCACCATCATTACCACCATTGTCATCATCACCATCACCATCATCATCACCACCACCACCACCACCATCATTACCACCATTGTCATCATCACCATCACCATCATCATTACCACCAGTCATCATCCACCACGATCACTATCCACCACCATCATCACCATCACCAATGTCTGTTATCATCACCTTCATCTCCACCATGATCACCACCATCATCTTCATCATCACCACCACCATCGACCCCACCCAGTCATCATCACTGTCACCTACATCATCACCATCACCACCATGATCATCATCACCACCATCACCATCCCCACTGTCATCATCACCATCACCACCATCATCACCATCACCACTGTCATTATCATCACCTTCATCTCCCACCATGATCCACCACCATCATCTTTATCATCTACATTGTCATCATCACCACCACCACCAGCCACCACTGTCATTATCATCTGTATCTCCACCACCCGATCACCAGCATCATCATCATCATCACCATCCACACCACTGTCCATCACCACCACCATCATCATTACCATCATCATCACCACCATGATCACCATCACCACCATTATCACCATCACCACCATCATCATCATCATCACCATTACCACCACCTTATCATCATCCATCACCACCATTGTCATCATCATCACCACCATCATTACCACCATTGTCATCATCATCACCACCACCATCACACCATCCACACCACGTTATCATCTTCACACATCACCACCATCACCACCACCATCATCATCATACCATCATTATCATCATCATCATCATCATCATCAGCATCTGTTCGAACCTGGGAATCTGGTGTGATTAGAAATCAGGTGTGCAACCTAGCCAGCATCATATTCAGGAACCTGGGAATCTGGTGTGATTAGAAATCAGGTGTGCAACCTAGCAGAGGGAAACTGGAAACCCAAAGTTGACTACAGGCAGAGTACAGAATTTCCTCTAGGCCTTAGTTCCCCCAACTGTAGAAATGGAGACAGCAAAAGCTCGTGCTACCAGCTTAAGAGAGTTTGAGCTACGGCAATGCAGTTACTATTTCCATGGCTGCAGACAGGAAGGTGTTAGATCCATTATTGTTAATAGTAATGTTTATTTTGGAAAAGAGGGTCAAAGTAGGATTAGTTAATATGTTTATAATCTGTATTTGTTCTCAATCTATTTATGGACCCAGAAATGAAGGTGGTCTAGTTCTCTAAAATGCAAAACATTGATGATAAACAGAATCTCCAAACTGGGCAGTTTTCCATTATCCCTGGCCTTGGTTGAATCTTTCCACCTACTTGGAATAACGCCCCTCCCCTCTTCTTCTGAGAGTTCCCACTTGCCCTCCATGCTCAACACAGTCGCTTTTTCACTTATCAAATAGTCCAATAATCTAAAACATGATCACCCCATCATTGTCCCTTTACACCCAGCAGTCGGGGTGGGGGGATTAATTTTCACAAGGGATGGCTGGGTAAAGCAGAGCTGAAGTATTAAAAAAGAGCCCATACCTTTCTGCCTAGCAATTTAATTTTAAAATTTACATTTTAAAAACTTTACATTCTAAGCATTTGTCCTGGAGAACTAATCATGGATTGGCAGCAGGCACTGGCTCAAGGGATGATCACCTCAGCACTGTTTGAACCGCAGAATAATGGGAGACCACCAACATGTTCCGCTCAGGAGATGGCATGCTCGCATGCTAGAATACTAGGCAGCTATCAGAAATGTTTTTATGGGAAAAGAAAACAGTAAAATGGAAAGATGCTATGATGTTTCAAGTGGAAAAAAGGCAGCATTCAAAATAGCGAGGGTGGCCTTACATCCTGTTGTCCCAGCAGGAGTATCTGACTTTCCCCTCTCACTCTTCACACTCCCAGTTAGGACCATGAAGTCCCTGGTCACCTTAAAGTTAGAATGCAGAGCAAGGTCCCGTCTTCATGGAAAACATTGCCTGTACTTCTTCGTAGAAAAATGACCAGAAGAACGTGCTCCAGACATTGGTGGTGGTTGCCGCCGGGAGCGGTGTTAGGAGCAGAGCTCCCAGATGGCCCATTTGGCACCAAATAGCACCGCTTCCTGCCCGGTTTTTCCTGGTGTAATTAATCAGTTAATCACAGTGTCTTCTCTCACTTCTGAAGTGTCCCAATTTGGCTAATAAATTACGTGGTCACCATAGTTTTGAGAGATTCTTACGGTGTTTTTGCCCATCTCTGTTTTCTAAGCGTTTGTCATCGAGAGAATAAAACCGGAAAAGTGCGGAATGCCTCAACCAAAGCACCACCTTCCTCAGAAAGAGTTCCCCGATCCTCCTGCATGAGACACTCAGGGCTGAGTCCCCAGTGTCACTTCTTGTCTGGCACATGGCAGGTGATGGTATTCAAAGAAACTAGGGCCAGGTGTGGTGGCTCATGCCTGTAAACCCAGCAATTTGGGAGGCCTAGACAAGTGGGTCCCTTGAGCCCAGGAGTTTGAGATCAGTCTGGGCAACATAGCAGACTGCCTCTCTGTCTCCACTAAAAATACAAAAAATTATCTGGCTGTGGTGGCGTGCTCAGGTAGTCCCAGCTACTCGAGAGGCTGAGCTGGGAGAGTCACCTGAGCCTGGGAGTTTGAGGCTACAGTGAGGTGAGATGGTGCCACTGCACTCCAGCCTGGGCAACTGGAGTGAGACCCTATATTGAAAAAAAAGAAAAAAGGAAAGCCCAAAGCCCACCCCTAGCCACATGGATGATGCTGTGCTGCCAGCAATGGGAAGAAATTAAAACACTCCTCATGCAGACCCAGAAAACATGCCTCCTCCAAGGATTCCGTTCCACCTGCTGGTCGGCAAGGCCGCCCACTCCCTCTGTGGGGGATATTTTCCTGGCTCCATTTAGCTGGTGTTTGCCCCCAGTGAGGGCCCTCCACGTGGGAGAGGAAGAAATTGACCCAGGAACCAAGCCTGAGACAGAAGCACCCAGTGTCCACCTTTGTACTGTGCAGAGCTGCAATGCACTCCTGTCTGTTTTTCCAGGGATTTTTTTCCACCCACCTTTGAAACAGTAAAGTGTTCTCTTTTGACAGGCTGGCCTAATGGGAAGGTTGACCTGATTTCCACTCTCCTACCGAAAAGTGACAATGCAGCTGCCGGGCCAAGGAGGGACGTTGTGTGACCAGTTCAGAGGCAGGAGTTCACGCGGCTGCAGTGACCCTCTGCAAAAGGAAGCAACTGGACATTTCCTCTACACATTGTCTCTTTTGAAAAGTTCCAAGTGAGGAATATTTGTACTTGATTGTTTTTCTTTCCTTGCATGCCAGCAAAAACTTGCTCAGTTTAGGAGAAATGGAGAAAAAGCCTGGGTTGTTAAATTTTAGCGGACAATCATGTTCAAGCCAAGGAAAGTGTGTGCTGACTTCCCCAGGAAGAGCTACCTCTGCCCAGCACCCATAAACCACCCCAGACCAAGAGGCCTGAGTACAGTTTTGGGACATAGATTTCAGGTCAAGTTGACTGTCATGCTTACAACCCTTTAGTGCTCCCTGTTACTTGGGCAGGGGATCTCTGTCTGCTTTTACCTGGAAATCACGTGGGATACGCATAAAAATACTGAGCCTGGGCCTCGCAGACCAACCTGAACCTCCAGGTGTATGTGGATGTGTGCGTGTATGTGTGGTGTGTGTGTGTGTTGTTTGTGTGTGGTTTGTGTGTGGTGTGTGTATGTGTGTGGTATGTGATGTGTGGGTGGTGTGTGTTTATGTGTGTGTGATATGTGTGGTGTGTATTCGTGTGATGTGTGTTCATGTGTGTTTATATGTGTGTGTGATGTGTGTATGGTGTATGTGTGATATGTGTGGTGTGTATGTGTGATATGTGGGGTGTGTGTGTGTGTGTGGTGTATGTGTATGGTATGTGATGTGTGTGTGTGTGTGGTGTGTGTATTGCGTGGTATGTGATATGTGGGTGGTGTGTGTTTATGTGTGTGTGATGTGTGTATGGTGTATGGGTATGATATGTGTGGTGTTTATGTGTGTGTATGTGTGTTTATATGTGTGTGTGATGGGTGCGTGTGGTGTGTGTGATATGTGTGGTATGTGTCCATGCATGTTTATGTGTGTGTGGGGTTTGTGTGTATGTGATGTATGAGCATGATATATGTTGTGTGTGTTGTGTGTGTGTGTGCATGTGCTTTGAATCTTTGAAAAATTCATCGACTCTAATATGTTTTTGTTATTATTTTTTTAAGGTCACCAAGTGACTCTAACATGCAGCCAGGCTCGTATCACAGCTGTTGGCCTCAGTCCATTTGCAGGTGGCTTCTTGCTGCCAGCACCGGTGATCCCATCCCATGGGTGTGTCTGGCTGAGGGAGCATGCTTAACCCACGCAGGGGCAGAAAGGTTTGCTGTGGGGTGGATGGCCCAGGAACAGCCTCCGCCAACTCGGGTTGAAGGATCAATACCTCAGCTCCCTCACCACTCATGCAGACCACCTGAGGGGTGCTCCCCACTGTCTCCAGGAAGCCTCTGATGGGTCCGAGTCCAGGTGCCCCTAGCGAAGCCTGACTGTCAGCATTCCCCACCGTGGCTTCCTTCCCTTCTCTGTCACACGTCCTTACGCTCCTACTAAGCTTCTTGGGATCCACCCAAATAATCTCCTGGCACTCAGTGCTCATCTTGGGTCTGTGGACAGTCCCTAGAAGAAAACGCGACAGTTTCTAGTGAGCCTGTAGCACTGCACAATCTGGCCGTATGGTGTCCCCTCCTCGGTACCCTCCCCTTGGCCACCCAAGCTTCCAGTGTGTGCCTTGAGTGTCCAGCTTCATCTGTGCCTCTGGATGCAGTGCTCAGCTTCGAACACTGTTCCTGTCCTTCCCCTTCCCTTAACCGTCTAAATCCTACACATCCTCAGACCTCAAGTAATGCCCCTCTGTAGGACAGCCTTCCTCAGTCCCCCTGCCCATCCTTTTGGTTTCTCAGCATTAGAGGATCTGCCCAGACCTTCTTCCCTTGATGCCACCATTTCTCTCTGTCTCCACAGACACCGTGTGTGTCCAATCCAGCTCACTGCTCTCCTGTTCTAACACGCTTCACCTGCTCCCAGCCCAGCACCGGGGTGCTCAACCCTGGCAGCCCATGGGCATCCCTGGCAGTCCTTGAAAAAACCTTGACCCCCTCATACCTGCCCCCACATTGTGCTTTCTGGGGGTGCAGTCTCGATTTCTGGATTTCTAGTGCACAGCCCAGGCTGAGAAACCAGCGCTAGAATCTCACCTCACTGAGCTCCAGCCACACAAGCTCCTCTCTGATCTGTGGGCATGGCCAGTAGAGCCCATGTTGGGCCTCCACACACATTGCTGCCTCTCCCTAGAATGCTGTTCCTGTCTCTTCCATGGGGATGGTGTTCCTTCATTTTTCCCTTCAGGTTTAACTCCATCATGAATTTTTGAGAAGAGCCTTCTCTGATCACCCCAGCAGTGCTCTGTTTCATCAAGCACTGGCCACAGACTCACGATCTTGTCTGCTTGTTGATTTTCTGTCTTTCCCACCTGGAAGCTGAGTTCCAGGAGGGCAGGGATGGATGTCACTCACCATTGTGACCTCATTTTCTGAATGAATGAATGAATGAATGGATGGTAAATTCCGGCTTATAGTGCTCCTACTCTTCAGGGCACCATGCCAGTTGCTTTGCAGGAGGCCAGGCTGGTGGCCTCCAGTCTTCCGTTTTTGTGATTCCAATACTCAATTCCAAGACTCATCTAAAACCATCTTTTCTCTTCTGAACGGAATCCACACCACCAGGCTCAAACCTGCCTCCTTCAGCAAAAGCCTCCCCAGGACCCTCCTCACACGTTCCCTGATGACACGTTCAGGCACACACATTTATTGTGCACCAGCTGAATGCCAGCCGCAGCGCTTAGGTGGGGATTCAGCTGTGAACAGCATCATTGCGGAGCAAGCCAGACCTGTGGTGCAGAACCACAGAGGCAAGGAGCCACAGCACCAGAGATTGGCAGGGCCAGGGACCGTCCCTCCCATCACCCATCTCCTGAGCTAGATGGAGTTGGGCTGCTGAGTGGTACCCGAAGCATCCTAGGGCTCCTGTTCTCAAACCATTTTCTTGTGTGTGTGTTTTTGTTTCTGTTTTTGTTTTTTTGTTTTTGAGACAGAGTCTCGTACTCTCACCCAGGCTGGAGTGCAGTGGCACAGTCTCGGTTCTGCAACCTCTGCCTCCCGGGTTCAAGCAATTCTCCTGCCTCAGCCCCCCGAGTAGCTGGGATTACAGGGGCCTGCCACTGTACCCAGCTAATTTTTGAATTTTCAGTAGAGACGGGGTTTCACCATCTGGCCAGGTTAGTCTCGAACTCCTGATCTCGTGATCCGCCCACCTCGGCCTCCCAAAGTGCTGGGATGACAGGCCTGAGCCACTGCGCCTGGCCATTTTCTTGTTTAAGATGAGCTTTTGCTGCCTCTATCTGCCTGGTGTTTGCACCCAATGCAAGCTGTCCAGGTGGAAGAGGAAGAAATTAACTGAGGAACCAAGCCTGAGACAGAAGCACCAAGTGTGCACCTTTGTACCCTGCAGGGTTGTGATAAACTCCTGCCTGTTTTCCAAGGATTTTTTTCTACTCACCTTTGAACTACCTTAAAAAAATAAAGTGCTCTCTTTTGACAGGCTGGCCTAATGGGAAGGTTGTCTTCCTTCTTTTTGGAAGTCCTACAGAATTTCTCCCAGGCCACAAAGCTACAATGTGGGACTTTCCTTACTTAAAACGTTACTGCTGTTTTCATAGTCAACAATTCCATCCAGCACAAAGGCAAGAGAAACTGATGAGTCATGGCCATCTTTAAAGGGAAACGAAAAAACAGGTGGAAAACAAATATTTAGGAAGGAAAGGAATAGTTCTCATTCTCATAAAAATGAGAGAGGAAAATGCCTTATTGCATATTTCTTCTTATGTTCATAATCCTTTTAACCAAGGGTGTTGATGAGGAGCATTTGTATAGAAATCTTAATGCTCTGAAGTCAATGCTTCATCTGACCCAATACATCACACACTCTCACACTCATACACTTTTACAAACACATATTCACACACATGCACACACTCTTACATATTCGCACACACACATTCTCACACCCCCACAAAGCTCACACACTTACACACTCACCAAGCCTATGTCATCCCCCCTTGTTGTTTTTTTTTTCAGTCTCTAAAAAGCTGCATGTACCAAAATGAGCAAAATAAGTGAGGTATGGAATCCACCTTGTTGAAAGGCTGGGTTTTATTGGTCAGCCGGTAAATGAAAGCACATGGAGAAGTGATACATTCAGGAACACGCTGCGACTGTATTACCCCCTGCTTTATTGGTTCATCTCTAATCGGAACCAGCTGGTCATAAAGAATAGAGTTCATGGGAATCCACCCTCTGTTGAAAGCCAGGCCAGGGTGGATGCTGGAAGCTGATGAGCACAATGAAAACAGCTGTAATTGACTTGTGAGGTCAGGCTCTGGGTAAAACTAGGGGACAGAGGTGACGCTACAGCTGGTGCATAAAATACTGGGCTCCTGGTTACCCATAATTGTGTAAAGAGGAGCCGAAGAGAAAAGCTTCCAAGTCTTAGGAAGCTCCTCCCAGAAGAGTCTGCTGCTGCCGGCCTGCACCTGGCAGCTTCAGAACCACACAGCCACTCTGGGCTGCCTGTTGACATGAGTCACAGTAATTATAATGATGGCACCTGTGATCCTGATGATGATGGTGACGATTCCAGTGATGATGAAGACGATAATGATGGTGATGAAGATGATGTTGGTGATGGTGGTGATGAGCATAATGGCAGCAGTCAGAAACTCCAAACAGGCTCCGCAAAGCACCAGGAAAATCTCTATAGCAAAGCCTTGCAACCTTTTTTTTTCTTCAAGACAGGGCCTCGCTGTGTCTTCCAGGCTAGAGTGCAGAGGTGCCATCGTAGCTCACGGCTGCCTTGACCTCCTTGGCTCAAGCAATCCTCCTGCCTCAGGCTCTGGTATGGATCACCATGTCTAGCTAATTAAAAAAATTGTTTTGAGGGGAAGCGGTCTCACTATGTTGCCCAGGCTGGTCTCAAACTCCTGGACTCAAGTGATTCTCTCGCCTCAGCCTCCTAAATGTTGGGATTACAGGCGTGAGCCACTGAGCCTGGCCAAAGCCTTGCGGTGTTAATGCTGCAGGAGTTGCAACCTTGACAACAAAATTTAACAGTTTTCATTTTTTCTCTGTGATTTATGTATTTTAAACACTTTTACCCCCCTAAACAAGGAAACTGGCGTCAGAATTCTAGAAATGGAACATATACATTCGCCATCCCCATGCTTCTTCCTGGCTCTAATCAGCCCAGCAGGTCCACCCTTCGGAAAATTGTGATGTGTTAGGAGGGTCTGCGGGATATTTTTAGTGCCTGACAACATCCTACCTGTTCCTCTCCCTATGGGGTTGTGTGATATGCACCTCACTCGATACTTAACATGTCAGTTATTTTTTAATTTATTTTTTATTTTTCGAGACGGAGTCTCGCTCTGTCACCAGGCTGGAGTGCTGGGGCGCGATCTTGGCTCACTGCAACCTCTGCCTCCTGGGTTCAAGTGGTTCTTCTGCCTCAACCTCCCAAGTAGCTGGGACTACATGTGTGCGCCACCATGTCCAGCTAATTTTTGTATTTTTAATAGAGACAGGGTTTCACCATGTTGGCCAGGATGGTCTCAATCTGTTTATCTCACGATCTGCCCACCTCGGCCTCCCAAAGTGCTGGGATTATGGGCGTGAGCTTTTACAGATAGATTTTTGAAACAATTTTGCAAATATTTTGAGGTCTGGGGGTGGGTTAGAGTTGGGACCTCCATCTACACTCTGGCTACGCTTCTTTTCTCCAGGCCCAGGTCAGGCAAGTCTCAAGTACACAGTCTGGAGGCAGCTTCATATTTCCTCTGAACCAGTGCTGGAAGTCAGTGAGATCAAGCTCATCTGTGATTCCTGGAGATGCTGTAGCCAAAACAATGCCAGGCTTCCCTCTTCCAACTTCATCCCTTCACTTCCACTGGCCCCACAGTGAAAGTACCAAGCTAATGCACATGGATCAAGTTCCTTCCTCCCCTGGAAACATTAGCTGCCTGAGGGCAGGGCCTTTCACTGTCTCATTCTGTGACACATCATCAGCCTGACTCAACCCATGTTGGTGTTAGCAGTGTGTAGCCTGCTCACTAAATCCATGTGGGGAAATTAGTGTCTAAAACCATCCAATGGCCTCACTTCTCCTTGGTGGTGGTGATGATGATGGTGATGGTGGTAATGACAGTGATGACGGTGATGGCGATGATAGTGATGGTGATGATGATGATGGTGATGACAGTAATGATGATGGTGATGGTGGTGATGATGGTGATGATGTTGATGGTGTTCATGATGGTGATGGTGGTGATGATGGTGATGGTGATGATGGTGGTGATGATGGTGATGGTGGTGATGGTGATGGTGAGGATGATGGTGATGATGGTGATGGTGATGATGGTGGTGATGATGGTGATGGTGGTGACGGTAATGATGATGTTGATGGTGTTGATGATGGTGATGGTGATGATGGTGATGGTGATGGTGATGATGTTGATGGTGTTGATGGTGATGGTGATGATGGTGATGGTGGTGATGATGGTGATGGTGATGGTGAGGATGATGGTGATGATGGTGATGGTGATGATGGTGGTGATGATGGTGATGGTGGTGACGGTAATGATGATGTTGATGGTGGTGATGATGGTGATGGTGATGATGGTGATGGTGACAGTGATGATGGTGATAGTGGTGATGATGATGGTGATGAAGATAATGATGGTGATGGTAGTAATGATGATGATGATGGTGATAAGTTTTTCTTTTTTATTATCATGACCATTACTAGAACTACTGAAGCAAATTAATCTGTAGTCACAAGGGTTTCTGAATATTTCCAGCAGTAAGACCACTTCTTTTCTATATGTCTTCACCCTAAATTGTGGAAGATGTTACAAAGAAGCTCGTTGTCTGACTCTGATCAGTTTGGGTCCAGGAAGGAAATGCCCTGAGGCAGATGGAAAGAGAAGTCTGTTATCCTGGAACAGAGGCTTAGCTGAGGAGAGCAGTGAGAGAGGCCAGCACTTGGAAGCCAGGGAGCACCCCCTGTCCGGCCACTTGGGGTCGTCTCCTCCTTCCCCACACATGGCACACACACCTGCCAGCTGGCCTTTGCTTTGCCAGCCTTTATCCTGAAATGCCCTTTGTCCTTTCCACCAAATCATCCTGCAGGTTGATACTACGTCCAAGTGCATCAAGCTGTCACCACGTGCCTAGAACAGTGTCCCATTTCATCCTCTCACTAACTCTATGACATAAGGAAGGTAGGCACATTACCTCCATTTCACAGATGAGGAAAGTAAGGTTTCCAGAAGGGACTTCATTTGTCCGAAGTCGCCCTGCTAATATTCAGTAGACCCTACAGTCCCCTCTCCCCATGGGCTTTTTGAGGCACCTTTAGGTTTCTTGGAACCCAGTTCAAAAACCACTGACCTTATCTCTCGCTTATGGGCTTTTCCAGCCTGTGATGTGGTTACTTTTACAACTTTGGTCCTCTCTTCTGGTCCTGAGATGGTAAGAAGTGGTTGAAATTCAACACGCTCTGTACCCAATGGGGCTCACCAGGGGTTTTGAAGACAAAATGTTTCCTTTCGTAAATCTAGAATTTAGAAAATAAATTCTTCTTCCCTACAGGCAGATGCTCGCCCACCCACCAAGGCTGAGGCCGAAGAAAATTCTCCGATGACAAGGCTCTGCAGGTGCCGTACAGAGCAAGTACTTTTCAGACAGCTGACGGAGCCCAGAGCAAGCTTCCCCCGGAGCATCCAAAGGGGCCACTTGGCTGCGGTCGCCATCACGAGAACAACAGGAAACTGAGCAGGGGCTGCGCTCGTCCTGGGCAGGACAACTCTCCATTTCCCTTCAGGCCTGGCATTGTTTTGCTGATGGAAGAAAAGTGGAATGGGGCGTGATCACACTGCCGGCTCAGCAGCTGGAAAGCTCGTGTTGGCTTAAATGTGCACAAGGTGAGGTCCCTCTGTGCCACTGATCCCCACCCCCTCTCACCACAGGGTGTTTTCTGATCACCAAATGTATGTTGGTTAGAAGACTTGGCAGTTCTCTGACCCCAGAGGTAGCGCTAGAAGTTGACACAGAGTCCCAAGTGGCAACTCCGTCTATGCTGTCTGTTGGTGATGATGGGCCAGACGTCCCAGGAGGAAGAGGACTTCCCAAGATCCCTTTCAGAGACGGGATGGTGCAGAAGAGACACTGGCTAGGAGAAGGAGGGTTGCGGGGGCTCCAGGGCTCCTCTGCTCCTGAGTGTCAGTGGAGGGTGGGCTTTGACCAGACCTAAGAGTCTTTGAAGCAGGGTCATGGGCAACCATGACTGCATTCCAAGAGACCCAAAAGATGGAAGGCCCAGGAGACCCCCAAGAATGAATGTGTGATGAGCAGCCAGGCCCTGATCACCCAAGTCCCGGCTTTCAGAGGGGAGGGGAGGGGCACATAATATTTATCAGAATTGTCATTAGATTAGAGCACTAGTTTTGCAACCTCCATAAGGTTAACAATCTCTGGGGAGCTTTCTATAAAATGCTACTTCCCCCTCCCAACTCCAAGGTTCTGAACCAGTCGGTCTGGAACTGCATTTTAACAATATCCTGTGGGTTTCTGATGTGGCTGTGAGTGGGTCACACTCTGAGAAACAAGGTCTTAGAGCAGCGGTTCTCAAACTCCAGCACCCTGACGCCCCTGCAGAGCGTGTTCACCCCCAGATGGCTAGGCCTTTGCTAGGGTCTCTGATTCAACAGGTCTAGGGTGGAGCTCCAGAACCTGCATCTCCAACAGGTTCTCTGGAGAGGCTTTCTGCCCTTCCCACCACCCTCCTTTGAGAACCACTCTTCTTTCTTGGAAAAAAAGTACCAATTTTGTCATGTCAACGTCTCAAAGGCAGGGGAACCAGGACTTCACCATTTTCTATCCCCCAGCACGGCGGACTCATCTCTGGCTGGTTGTGTTCGCCTTGAGAGTTTTTAAAAAGTTCTGGTGATATTTTCATCTGGGTGAGCTGCCAGCTACATTTCTAAAGGCCACCCTCCCCCAGGTGATGCTGAGGTGCAGTCAGAGCAGAGAGTCCCTGTCCCACCGCGCCTGACAGTGCAGGTAGTCAGGTTTAGTTTTTATGTCAGTGTTTGTTGAGTGCCCACTGCAGGCTTTCACTGGTATTTATTGAGTGCCTACTGTCTTCCCAGTACCTGCAAGAGGCAATGGAGGTGGGAGAAAAAGGGATCTGCCCAGTCCTCAAGCAGTTCACAGCCCACTGGGGTGACAGGTGTGCAAGGCACCCAGGTAGGAGCTCCAGGTGAAGAATGGCAGGTGCCCTAGGACCGCAAAGCAGAGAAAAATGACCAGCTGAAGGTGAGGCAGGGTGTGAAAGGTTCCAGGAGAAGGGAAAATCTAAGCCTGTTTTGAAGGACGGCTCAGGAAAAGGCAGGCTGGGATGGCTCAATTTCAGGCTGCTGGGATGGCCACACAGTGACAGCATCGTGAAACAGCATGGAGCATTCCACGAACTCTGGGCAGGCTGGAGTCACTGGAGCATGGAGCATGAGGCAGGAGTGATGGAGGATGAGGAAGGAGACAAGAGCTCATCAGGAACATGCATGTTTAGATGTAAACTGCCTTCGGAGCATCAATTATGATTCATTTGCCCTGATGGAGAGATAGAAGTTCAGTGATGCACAGCAAACCATCAGCCCAGGTGCAACCGCATGGGGACCTGATCGCCACCCCTCCCAGGCAGGGAAGCACAGCCCATTGAGGCTATTCCTATAAAAAGCACGACTCTAACTCCTTGCTGGGAGCTTTTGGCGCTAGCATTCCTGTTGGAATCCCAGTGCCCTTCTCCTAGGAATGAATGGGAAGAGATGGGGAGAGGGCTGCTTGCCTGGAGAGCTGGTCTCTGGTCTCTGGTCCTGTTCCAGTCATTCATTCACTGGGTCATCTTAGCTGAGCCTCTTCTCATTGCTGCCTATAAAGTGAAATTGTGCAGAAAATCTGAAGACTACTCTAGATTGTTCCATTTTAGCAAGGCGTCTCCTGGTGCACCAATGCATGAATGGAGGCAGTGCTGGGAGAGGGAGGCTGCAGACCCCCCGGGCTTCCTTCATGTGCCAGGCCTCCCTTTACATGCTCTTACCAGCTTGGCAAAATTCCCTTCCTGCCACATCCTTGGACAAGCCCTGAACACCACGAAGCAAAGTGCAGGCAACGTCCCTCAGTGTGAGCCCACAGCTTCCTCAGCTCCACACCTTCCAGCCAGGAGAGCTCCCCGGGTCACAGGCCCTTGAACAGAAATCAGTCTAGTCAACAATGTTTTGGAAATTAAGACCAGGCCCTGGATCCTCAGGGAGGAGTGAGAAGCCCGTGGGGTCTGCGGACTCTTTCTCAGGAGCTACCTCCATTCACAAACTAATGTGCCAAGAGAAAACTTGCTAAGGCGGAATGGCCTAGAGTTCCACTAGAGATCCCACTGTGGTCTTCAGAGTTTCTGCCTAATTTCACTGGAACTCCAGGTTCAGAGGCAGGCAGGCCTGGACATTGAATCCTGGACTCCCAGCTGCACTCTGGTGAGAAGATGCTGGGGCTTTATCCTTGACTTTCCCCTCCCTCGTGTGCAGGTCCTGTGCCCACGCAGCTACCCCGTGCCTCACATCCACTGACAGCTTCATGCTGTTCTTAGGATGAAGGCCTGGTATTGATTCAGTGCTCCATACAGAGTGGTGGCTGCAATTGGGATTCTTTGGAGAGTGGCCCCAGGAATCCCTCAAGCTCGCTGGCCCTCAGTCTTCTGTGCTAGGAGCCAAGCAAGGCCTCTTCCCTGCATATTCCTCCAGGGAACTGGGAGAAACACGTGGGAAACTGATGGGAAAGGCTTGGGACACCATGATGACCCAAACTGTGTGGATAGGGCAGGCCTCAGGGGCTTCCTTTATATGTCGAGCTTCCCATCACGTGCTCTCATCAGCTTGGCAAAATTGCCTTCCCGCCGCATCCTCAGACAAGCCTGGAACACCAACAAGCAAAACGCAGGCAACATCCCTCAGAGTGAGCCTCATTCTCAGCTCCACAGCCTCCAGCCAGCAGAGGTCCAGGGCTCCTAGAGAGAAGCAGGATGAGGTTCCAGTAGGATGTGCAGACCCTTCGGGATTAAATTCTCTCTTCCTTGGAAGACTTGGAAAGGCAGATGATGTAGCCAGATGAATAAATCCAACCAAGTTGTCTGGTTCTTTTGGTTGGGTACCAGTGCCATGAAAAAGCAAAGATTCTTTCGTTCCCTGGAGATCCATTACTTTCTCTACCTGTGTTACCTCCTCCATTCCTCCCTTAGCCCACAGTTTCAGTGGGATTATCCCCCGTGTCCTGCATCCAGCCCTGGCCAAACGGAGCTTTTCACCACTCAGATCACAGTTGCCGGTTCCCATATCAGCACCTGGTCCAAGTGGGCCGAGAAGACTCAGTTCCAGGGCTTCGGTTGGAGCAAATGGGAAGGAGGGGCTGTCTCTTTCACTGAGGTTGCTGGGAAAACGAGACTCAGCCCTGGGGCTGCCACCTGACCTATCCTGATCATGGAACCCCAACAGAGGAAAGCAGAACCGAGGGCTGAAGTGGCCCAAATGGAACCCTGCTGACTTGTCTGAGTCCCTGGATCCAGCCCTACCTGAATCCAACAACAGGAGTTTTCAGTTCCACAAACCAATCAATTCATTCCTTTTCTTGTTTAGGTATGTTTCTGTCACTTCCAATCAATAGAGTTTGAGAAATACATGCAAATGATGATGAGAAGGGAAGATATGCAGAACGATGGATTCCCATCTGAGTGGGCAGCCTGATGCCAGGGCTGGCATGCAGCTGTGTGTCCATCCACTGGTCTACTGGCAGGTGCACTCTGCCTCCTCCCACTCTGCTGTGTGTTGCAGGGTGGCTCAGGGCTGCACTCCAGTCCCCCCCATGTCTGCTGGCTTCCACCTGGTTCAGCCAACAGGGGACCCTGGGAACAAGCGGAGGTAGGAGGAAGGGAGGAGCCAGGGCGTTCTCTCTCCTCCTCCTCCTCAGCCACAGGCACTGTCTCCCCTGCAGCACCAGCACCCCAGCAACCAGGGCCCTGATGAGCACATCCACAGGGTGGCTCTGCACTGCCTCCTCCCTCTGCCCCAGCTCTGGATGGCGTGCTGGGGGAGGCCTTTGCTCCTGCTCACCTATGGGTTTCTCCCTGTCCCCTGGTCCATTTCTTAGCAAAGCCATCAAGTATGTAGCCAATTCCCTGCATTAAATTCTCTCTGTTTTCAATATTCAGAATGTTTTCTCCTTTTCCTGTTTTGACTTACACTAATACAAACAGCAAATAGGTTTCCATTTACATCATAGAAATAGGGAGCACAGGAACAGTGAGGGAACAAAAATAAATTTAGAGCTACCAGAGCCAGTGTAAAGCTAGACCAGACAGGGGTGAGTGTGAGGCTAGACCAGACAGGGCTTTACTCACCACAGGGGTGAGTGTGAGGCTAGACCAGGCAGGGTCTTATGTGTCACAGGGGCAAGTGTGAGGCTAGACCAGGCAGGGTCTTGTGTGCCCCAGGGGTGAGTGTGAGGCTAGACCAGGCAGGGTCTTGTGTGCCCCAGGGTTGAGTGTGAGGCTAGACCAGGCAGGGCCTTACTCACCACAGGGGTGAGTGTGAGGCTAGACCAGGCAGGGCCTTACTCACCACAGGGGCAAGTGTGAGGCTAGACCAGGCAGGGTCTTGTGTGCCCCAGGGGTGAGTGTGAGGCTAGACCAGACAGGGCTTCACACACCACAGGACGAGTTTGGGTAGCAACTTGACGCAGTGGGGGCCCCTGGTGCACCTTCACAAGGGTCAGGGGGCTGGGTAGCACCACCAGACAGTCGATCAGCGGGGGTCACGTGTGACAGGATGTGGAACACATCCCGAAGTGAGGACCTGACTTCTACAGGCCAGCATGTGCTGCGGACTTGGAGAGATGTGATCCAGAACTTCCAGGGGTTCCTCTTCACTCACTTGCGGATTTCAAAGGCCAATCTTGGAGGGACTTTCCGGGGGCTCTCTCAGCTCCTCAAGTGAAACGGAGCACTGTATGAGGATTTGGGTGACTCCAGGAGCCAGCGAGGAGGAGGGGCCGGGGACTTCAGCGGAGGCAGCAACAAAGAGCCCAGTGACCCAGCAAAGCCTGAAGCAGCCCAGACATGAAAGGCATATGCTGGAAAAATTAACTCAGTGTTTGCTTTGGGAACCTGTCTGACGGCTCTTAATCCAGTGGGCGTTGTATGTTCCAACTCACGGGACGTCCCAGATCCCTCGGCGGGACGACAAAGCCCCATTTGTGAGGTTTCATCGATGCCCTGGAGGGCGCCTGCCACCCGACCGCTCACTCCCAGCAGCAGCCTGCCGTCCATGGATGGTCAGCCTTCTCAAGGCCTGTGCCACGGCTGGCTTTGTGTTGCCCTTTCCCTCTTACCCACTTTAGAAAGACGAAAGGAATATAGAAGTCACTGGCCGAGCGTGGTGGCTCACACCTGTAATCCCAGTAATTTGGGAGGCCGAGGCAGGTAGATCATGAGGTCAGGAGTTCAAGACCAGCCTGGCCAAGATGGTGAAACCTTGTCTTTACTAAAAATACAAAAAAAAAAAATTAGCTGGGCGTGGTGGCACGTGCCTGTAATCCCAGCTACTCCAGAGGCTGAGGCAGAGAATTGCTTAAACCTGGAGGGTTGGAGCTTGCAGTGAGCTGAGATGGTGCCACTGCACTCCAGCCTGGGCGACAGAGCGAGACTCCATCTCAAAAAAAAAAAAAAAAAAAAAAGTCGCCAAGTCCCGGAGTGGAAAATGTATGGATGCTCTGTTTCTTAAACATGCATCAGTTAGGTTGAGTAGGTGAGAGGAAGGATGACTTTGGCCCTGGAAGGAGAGGACAGCAGGCATGGCTTCAGTGAATAAGACACAGAGGCAGGAACTGCTCTCCTCCATGAAATATATCAGTGGAATCATAGCACACACAGGTACACACATGAGCACATGCAAAGTACACATGAGCACACACAGGCACACATGCAAACCTGGGTACACGTGCACACACATGCACACATGTGCACACACAAAGCACACATGAACACGTACACACTAACACGAGCACATGCAAACTACACATGAACACACAGGTGCACACATGAGCACACACAAAGCACACACGAACACACACAGGCAAATGCACATTTCACTTATCAGAATTCGATTATTATATGTGCTTAAAAAGAAATCATGTTCTAAATTCCTTTGCCTTCCCTCCTGCTTTAAGAAAACAGCCCCAGGAAAAGGGACCCTCTGGCTAACATTCACAAACAAAAAAGGTAATTTTTGTTTCCATTTTTGTTTTGAGAGGGATTCTCTCTCTGTCACCCAGGCTGGAATGTAGTGATGCGATCTCGGCTCACTGCAACCTCCACCTCCCGGGTTCAAGCGATTCTCCTGCCTTAGCCTCCCGCGTAGCTGGGATTACAGGTGTGTGCCGCCACACCAGGCTGATTTTTGTATTTTTAGTAGAGGTAGTTTCACCATGTTGTCCGGGCCCTTCACCAAAGAAGGACCCTGACTTCCCACACTGACATTTTGGGCTTTTAGATGTCACACAAGGTGAAGAGAGGTAGGCCTTGTTTCTGTGTTAGGAAAGGCAGAGAGAGGGCGGGTTGGGGTGTGTGGGGGCGTTACAGATAGCACAGGAAAAGGAAAGTGTGAAAACGCAGTGCTGTGTGTGGCCCAGGCACGCCCTTCACGTTGGTTGAGAGATACGAGTGAGCAACTTGGCTTTTTTTTTTTTTTTTTTTAAGATGTCCTCTGGTTGCTGGATTTGGCTTCTTTGATGACTGCATTGCCCTGAGACTGGACCCCAGAGGTAAGGACTTCCTGGACAGTACATAGGTGGGTCACTTCCAAATCCAACAAAACCCATGTGATCGGCAGTACTCTTGAAAATCATGTACCTCACCCTTGAATGGCAGGACTCGAGCCCTAAAAAGCTCAGACATCTAAAAAGTTACCTTTTTCGGCTGGGCGTGGTGTCTCACACCTGTAATCCCAGCACTTTGGGAGGCTGAGGCAGGTGGATCACGAGGTCATACGTTCGAGACCAGCCTGACTAACAGTGAAACCCTGTCTCCACTAAAAACACAACAATTAGCTGGGTGTGGTGGCGCATGCCTGTAATCCCAGCTGCCTGGGAGGCTAAAGCAGGAGAATTGCTTCAACCTGGGAGCCGGAGGCTGCAGTGAGCCGAGATTGCACCACTGCACTCCAGCTCGGAGCAAGAGTTCGAGAGCACGAGACTGTCTCAAAAAAAAAAAAAAAAAAAAAAAAGGTCCTCACACCTCACCCCTGCTTTTTCTCTAGGGGTCCTTGCACCTCACTCCTGCCTTCTCTGGGGTCCTCACACCTCACCCCTGCCTTCTCTGGGGTCCTCACACCTCACCCCTGCCTTCTCTGGGGTCCTCACACCTCACCCCTGCCTTCCCTCAGGGGGTCCTCACACCTCACCCCTGCCTTCTCTGGGGTCTTCACACCTCACCCCTGCCTTCCCTCAGGGGTCCTCACACCTCCAGAATTTTCCTCCCATCCCTTCTAAGCATGTGCACAGGGCCGAGCTCTTCCGTCCTGTAGGGCTCCACCCCAAAGGCCTGCTGGGTGCCACCCTTCACCCTGCTTCTGGCCCTGTATGAGAAACATGGGCCTTTCTCTAGATCTTGGAGTCAGCTCTTATACCCCCAGCTACAACATCAAGACTTCCTCAAGGGCTTCGTTGTGGGCTCCTGGCTAAGAGTCCAGCATAGACAGGTTGGGGTAACTTCGAGGTTCTGGGAACAGAACACCTGCCCCGACTAAAGGTTCAAACCATCTCTGCTCAGCAAATGCAGGCGTGATGTGCTTGCCAAGGCCCTTGGCAAGAGAGGCAGTGGGGCCTTCAGGATGCTTGGAGGGGCGTGGTGAGGTCCATCCTGAGAGACCTGGGAGGGGCCTGCAGCTCAGCTTTAAGTAGGGAGAGTGGAGAAGAGCCTTGGGGGGCCACAAAGGTGCCCATGGAGGAGAATGGAGGCAGAGAGGGAGGCCTGGAGGCCTGGAGGCAGCCCTTAGATGGCTTCAGGGTGCGGCTCCCTGACTCTTGCAGCTCACAATACGAGTGCCCAATGGAGCAAAGAACAACCCAGGGAAAGTGAGAATGGAGAGGGGGCCCTCTTTGGTCTCCTGCTTACAGAAACATTGGTTTTCTAGTGCAGCTACTTCCTGCTAATTTATTCTAAGGGCACAAGATGGGCTCAGCCACCCCTGGAAGCTACTCCCATTCCCCTCAAACAGCTGACACCCAAAGCAGACCGCAGGCGTCGCAGCTGGGGCTCTAGGGCCAGGCAGGCCCAAAGGTGCATCTCAGATCTCTGTCCTTGCTGGAGTTTGACCTTGGGCAAGACACACAGCTGTCCTGAGCCTGAGTCTTGTTTCTAAACTGGGGTAATAATGGCGCATACCTCATGGGTGGCGAAAAAGGCTAAATAGGATGTGTACTCCCAGTGCTCAGGCCAGAGCCTGCCACTTAGCATTTGCTCAATAAATAAGAGAAAGGTCGGTGGGAGGAGGAGAGTTAGAGCACCACCCTCCCTGAAACAGAGGTGCACAACGGCCAGGAGTGACAGGCACCACTTGCACAGCTCAGGACACATATCCAGAGCCACCTGTGATGGTTAATATTAAGTGTCAACTGGATTGGATTGAAGGATGCAAAGTATTGTCCCTGGGCGTGTCTGTAAAGATGTTGCCAAAGGAGATTAACATTTGAGTCAGTGGACTGGCTGAAGCGGACCCACCTTCAGTGCAGGTGGGGACTATCTAATCCATTGCCAGTGCAGCTAGAATAAAGCAGACTTGCTGAATCTTCTGGCCTCCAGCTTTCTCCCATGCTGGATGCTTCCTGCCCTCAAACATCAGAGTCCAAGTTATCCAGCTTTTTGACTCTCGTGCTTACACCAATGATTTGCCAGGGGCTGTTGGGCCTTTGGCCACAGACCGAAGGCTGTGCTGTCGGCTTCCCTACTTTGGAGGTTTTGGGACTAAGAGTGATTCACCAGTGGCTTCTCAGCTCCTCAGTTTGTAGACAGCCTATTGTGGGCCTTTACCCTGTGATCATAGGAGTCAATTCTCCTTAATAAACTCCCTTTCATATATACACATATTCTATTAGTTGTGCCCCTCTAGAGAACCCGGACTAATACACCACCCTCAGTGCTCCTGTTCTTGACTAACCAACCACAGGCCAATCACAGAGGTCGGGGTTCACGGGGAAGAACAAGGGAAGGGTCCCACCCTGGAGGAGGCCCAGGTCCGTTGAGATGAGGTCTGCACATAAACGCCATGGAATGCCTCTCCCTGCACTTGGGTCCAAAATGGTTCCTCTGCAGGTGTGGACTGGTAGGACCATTGCACTTGGCATTCTGAGATCACACTTGGATTGTTCTTCAGAAGAAACCCCGTCGCTAGTGTAATTAAAGAGGACAAAAATTAAGTCATGGATATAAAGAAGGCCCCCAGCTTGGACAAAATCATTCCTTTGCCTACATTCCTGAGAGCCCCCGAGGGGACTGCCTTGTGCCCAGTCCGGCTGGGAGGACCCGAGCAGCGGGCGTGGGGTCTGCATGCAGGCTCAGCCCCACCATCAGCTCTGACACTTTCCCGAGGCAGCGCCAAGGGAAATACATCAGGAGGCTGTGGCTTGGAAACTTGTATTTATTTATGGGTACGTAACTCTGAGTGGTTTAAATAAACTTCCCCTCTTCTAAAATTTCATTTTGGTAAATATCTTGACCGGCCATGTGTCCATGTTTCTCACCCGTCTCTGCCTCGTCTCTCTCGGGAATCACCAAAGCGGCAGGTGCCTGGTGGTCATCCCACACGGGGTCTTCCTTCCTCTGTACCCTCCCTTCCTACCTGGTTGTCCCAATCTGAACCCCTAGATGCAGTCTTAGTCTTATTTTCCTTTTATTTGGTTTTTTTGAGACGGAGTCTCACTCTGTTGCCCAGACTGGAGTGCAGTGACGCGATCTCAGCTCGCTGCAACCTCCGCTTCCCAGGTTCAGGAGATTCTCCTGCTTCAGCCTCCCAAGCAGGTGGGATTACAGGCACCCACAACCACGCCTGGCTAATTTTTGTATTTTTAGTAGAGACAGGGTATCACCATGCTGGCCAGGCTGGTCTCGAACTCCTGACCTCAAGTGACCTGCCTGCCTCAGCCTCCCAAATTGCTGGGATTACAGGCGTGAGCCACTGCACCCAGCCAGTCTTATTTTCTAATCAAAGTTATTTGAGCTCTTGCAATGGCCCCTTCCTATATGGATACCCCAGTATAAAACTGATGATCATTTTCTTAAATGTGGGAACTGTCTCCTTGGTCTGAGGAAATGCAGGTTCAAATCCCAGCTCAGCCACTGCTTAAGTGGATAACCTTGGTCAGTTATTTAGCTTGCCTATGTAGGATTTCTCAACGTTTCACACTGCGCTAATAGTGCATATAAGGGAAAGCATATGGTTACCAGGAGTTCCCAGACAAAAGCAGACTATCATAAACCTAAATTCATTCCCAGGTCATAGGGTTTATCTTGGAAATCCACACCCATTTTTTATGCTGATAATCTCTTGCTGTCGCAGACACGTTATTTGCCTACTCAATGTCCCTTTTTCTCCTTCACTTACAGAATCTCTTAATTTTTGGGTGCTTTGACGGTTAATCACTGAACAACAAAGAATCGCTCAATAACTGGATGCCTATCTAAAAACACTTCTCAACCTCCTTTGCATATAGACATGACCAACATGCTGAAGTCAATGTGTAGGGGTTTCCAGGAAGTCTCTTTAAGAAGAACCAATTCACCTGCAAGGTACCTTTCACCCCTTTCTCCTTCTTCCTGCCTGGATGTGATGACAAGCACTACCGCAGCCATTTTGTGCTAATGAGGCAATCTCTAAGTGAAGTGACATGTTTTGGATTGGGGAGCAGAAAGGAAAATAAGCTTGGGTATTGATGACATCATGGGGTCACTGTAAACAGCCCATTCCTTCACATAAAGAAGGAACTCCCAATTCATGTGAGCCACTTGTATTTTAGGTCTCTATTATCAGCAGCTAAGTACAATTCTGAGATCAGTTATGATGATTGTTTCACGGTAAAAATATTTACAACAACTTGGCTGGGCACAGTGGCTCACGTCTATAATCCCAGTACCTTGGGAGGCCGAGGCGGGTGGATCATGAGGTCAGGAGATAGAGACCTTCCTGGCTAACATGGTGAAACCCCATCTCTACTAAAAATACAAAAAAAAAAAAAAAAATAGCCGGGTGTGTTAGCGGGCACCTGTAGTCCCAGCCTCCTCGGAAGGCTGGGGCAGGAGAATGGCTTGAACCCGGTAGGCGGAGCTTGCAGTGAGCCAAGATCACACCACTGCACTCCAGCCTGGGTGACAGAGTAAGACTCCATTTAAAAAAAAAATATATATATATATATATATATATGTGTGTGTGTGTGTGTGTGTGTGTGTGTGTGTGTGTGTGTGTGTATAGATATATAAAATTATATTTGCAACAACTCACCGTGGAGCAAACTAATGCTCTGGAAATAAGTGTCCTCCCCTCCTAGGTGTTCATTTCCCCGGTTCTCCGTGTTCCCTCCCCGGCATGCATGTCCCAGAGAAAGAAGTCAGGTATGGTGAGGGCCATGGCCTGCACTTCCACTCAGAACCCCCGCTCTGCCCCCTGCCCTTCTGATGGAGCGAGCACCCCTGGAGCACCACCTACAACTCTAGACCCAAACGTGCTCTTTCCTTGCCTGGCTGAGAGTGGCTCCCTGGCCAAGATGACGGGGGCCAGCTAGGAGAGGGGATGGAGCCCTGTCAGTGAGCTGTGTCCCCTATGTCAACTTGGCTGCTGAGGGGCTGGGTGACCTTGAGTGTGATCTTTGACCTCTTTGGTATCCTTGACTTCCTTCATGCATTGAGGGGCATGAAGCAGATGTCCCCTCCCGAGACACAAGCTCACAAGGACCTTGGAGTGATGTGGTGATGAGCTGGAGCTTTATGGTCACAGAGAGTTGAGTTCAAATCTTGACGGTGTTATTCACCTGCTGTTTGAACCTCTGGTTTCTGTAACATTTCTCTCTAGCGCTGTGTTCATGACATGGGGATAATGAGACACCCACCTCACACGGGGGGGTGTTTAAGAGTTTGCTGGGGTGGCCACAACAAAGGGCCATAAACCAGGTGGCTTAGAACCACGGGAATTTATCATCCCATGTTCTGGAGGCTACGAGTCTGAGACGGAGGGGTCGGCAGGGCTGGTTCATTCTGGGGCTCGAGGGACTCTTTGCTGCAGGCCTCGCTCCTGGTAGCTTCAGGGGTTCCTTGGTTCCTAGAGCACTGTCTCCTCCCAGTCTTCACATCGCCCCCCCTCCATGCACGTCCATCTCTGCGTCCAAATTCCCCCTTCTATAAGGACACCAGTCATGCCTAGGAGGCCCACCACCCTGTGACAGTCTCAAGTCGATCATCTACATAAGGCCCTATTTCCACATAGGGCCACATTCACAGGTATTGGGGGTTAGGACTTCAATGCTTTTTTGGGGGGACACAATTCAATCCATAAGAGGAGTTGGCTTATTCATGTCAAGGCCTGCCCTGCAGCCTCTGAAAGTGCTAACCCCCCGGCATATTCTCTGTCGCCATTATTCTGTACTCTGTTGTCAACGCAGTAGGTTTTCATTGACAAGAGCAAAGACGGCTGCACCCGTGCCACTCATTCTGCTGTGGAGGTTTGCAGCTGACAGTGGCAAACCTCGCTGACTTGGTGAAATCATTCTCTGACCTAAATGGTTGACTGGGAGCTGGAGCTGACCTCCTCCTTCACACTTATTGGACAGACAGACTCAGACAAGGGGTCAAAAGTTCCACATCTCTCCAAATTCCCCAGGGCTTGAGATTGTATTTTACCATGGAATGAAATTCATTCGAAGGCTTCTTCATTTTCCATAGACCTTGCCAGAATATGCCATGCAGAAAGAGTGGCTGGAAATTCTAGTCAAGCCCCAGCTTTGCCTGTTTTGAAATTGGTCCCTCTTCTTCTCTTTGATTCTCCTCTTCCGCTCTGTAGGGAGGAAATTCAAAATATTCACAATTTTCCACCTGTTTTCACCACTTTCAGGTTTCTGAACATGGTGGCTCTTTGGAAACGACTAGAGAAGTAGGTTGTTGCCATTCTATTTGTGAGCAGAGAGGGGCCTGCTTGTGGCATTTTTGGATTCAGCACTCACTGGGCTTCTCCCAATGTCCTTGATAAATAAATCATCCTTAAATGAGACAATCTTTGAATAGCTGAGCAGTGACCTAAAAAATTAAGGCTATTAGGAAATGGGAAACACGTCAGTCTCTGAGTCATTGGTTCTTTTTATTTTTCATGTATGTGTTGAATCTGTGTGAAATTCCTTCCCCCCACCCCCCAATTATAAATAGAAACCAATGTGTTTTTCAGTTGGGCTTTTTTTTTTTTTTATGAGGTTTTTCCCACAGACAAAAGGGATTTTCACTTTCAGGAAGAAGGGTTGCCAAAAGCAAGAGGTCTGTAAGATGGACGTGGATTGGGGCCACGCGTCTCCTCTCCAGATTCAGCCTTGGCATGCCGTCCTCTGCCGGATACCAGGGCATTTTTTTTTTCCTTGAGCCTCTTGCAGCTTAGAGAAAACACCCCAAAGTTGGAATCAGAAGATGCAAGTCTAGCTCTGATCACCGTGGCTCACTGGTGATCCGGCGTGGAACCTGCCTTTGCTCATCGAATATCAACTGGCTCATCTGGTGCTGTTCCGCTCAACTAGCAGCTAAATTGGCCTTGGTGCTCAGGGTCTGAATACTGCAAGATACGCAGAGGAAAAAATCTCCGCAGCTCTCGGAAGCCTGGATGGGAAGGCCCCTGATGAGGGAAGAAGAATAGAGGAGGTGGCGTGGCGCTGGTGGACAAGGGAGCCTCCTCCCAGGCCACAGGGAAATGGACACAGGGACGCTAGAGGCAGCCGGTGCATCAGGATCTGCCTGAGAGACTCCGAACCTGGCTGCACAGCTCCACAATCCCTTTTCAGCAATTCCAATATCCCAAATGTGAAAACCGAACAAAAAAATAATCAAAGTTCAACTGGCAGCAAAACCTGCCACCCTGAACATGCGTGAGACCGTCTTTAACCTCAGTTTCTCCCTCTTAGCTTGAATGCTGAAACCCTCCCTGCAGAGCTGTTCGTGAAAGGCTGCCCCAAACCCTGTGGGGAGTTATATTATGCGGGGTCTGTTCACCATGTTTCCTTCCACAACCCATGACAGTTCTGAGTTCTGCATGCATCTGGCCTCTGGGGTTTCAAATAAGGGCTTGGGGACCTGAAAAAATCTCATTTGGAATTGCCACCAGTAATCAAGTGTCCCCATGCAATGTATCAGAGTTGCAAAGTGCTAGTCTGCAGGATGAGCTGGAGTTAGAGTGTATTGAGTGACCACTGTGTTTTCAATTTTCTGGTGTCCTTGGTTGGGAGCAAGGTCATACTGAACCCCTGCTGCCTCCTTCCTTTGGGCACCTGCCTGCCTTTGAAGGCATTTGAGGTGACAACCTTGCTGTGTGAAACAATGTCCCTGCAGAGAGAGAACTGATGACCGGGATGGGCTCTCCAAATCGCCAGCCTTGCATTCATTCATTCTGCAAGCAATGGCCGAGTGATGTTTGCTTACAATATTTGTGATTTGACAGCAATGTTTAAGTGTTCATTATTAGTAAAATACTAGGGGGAGCCTTCCAGAGCTGAGTTACTTGCACTGTCCAATTTGTTCTCTGGCTGGTGTTGACTGGGCACTTCCTAAGGGTAGCCTAAGTGGGTATTTCAGTGCCCTACTTACGGGGCTGTCTTCAGGGCTACGCAGCCATGTGGCACTGCTCTCAGACCCATTTTACAGATGAGGAGGCCAAGCCTCAAAGATGGTTCATCACTTGGCCCCAGGTTCTACAGTAAAAATGGAAGGACTTGGGTTGCACCTGGGCCATCTGTCCCGGCTCTTTCCTAGCACAATGCAGTGCTGCAGAATAGAATGATGCTCGAGGACGTCGCTTTGGAATTAATGTCCCCATTGAAAACCTGCAGCCTAGAGCCATCTGCACTTACAACATGGCCTAATGGCAGCAGACAAGGCTTCCTTCTGCTGCCCGCCTGCATCTGAGCCGCACACGATTATTGAGAACACACTGAGTGCCAGCGGCGGCTGCTGAGGACAGAGTGGGGAGCAGAGGAATAAGGCCCCTGTCCTCCTGCAGCCTAGAACCCACCACAGTGAGTCAGATGTCAAGGAAGCAGTGGCAGACACAGGGCAGCTGATTCCAGATGGTGGCGAGGGCTGCAGGGGAGTCAGTGAGATGAGTCACCTGGGCTCCTGGGGAGGTAACGCCTGAGCAGAAAGGCCAGAGACATGTCCTGGGCAGAGGAAACGACACCTGCGAAGCTTGCAGCAGAGGGCCGGGGCCCACAGCACGTTCCTGTCCACCCAACCCAGACATTGAGTCGTGCCCTGGCAGCACCTGTTGGAGGCAGTTGGGAGACATCGTCACCGGAACCCACAGCCAGTCCCGCGTTCCATGATGTTATGGCAGGAAAATGGAATGGGCCCTTCCAAGAAGTTCCCAAGGGAGCTGAAAATATTGGAGTTAAGACCATGAGGCCTGCGTTCAAGTCCTTGCTCTGCCCCTATTAACTGACTTGGCTTTGAATAAAGCCCTTTTTCCTCTCTCTCCCTCTCTCTGTTTTAAAAAATCTGTTTTCTGCCCCGTAAAACGGACATCCGACACCTACCTGATAGTGTTCTTGTGA